TAAGGGATTCACATTAATTGTATAAGCTTTCTTTGGGAGTTTTATATTTTAAAATATGACTGTCTTAGGAACATAAAGAACTTTTAAAAGGTTAAATATATTAATATGTAAAGCCAGTATTGGACAGGTGATCATGAATCTTGTCCATTGAGCAGACTCAATAATTACTAAATTGTCTAATTATTAAATTGGACATGATCATTGAATGCATCATCTTTTTTCATCTGGAAACTTTTTTATGTGTAGCAGACACTGTCATTTGCCGTAACTTCAGTGTTACCTCCCCTTTCTTCCTTATGTCCAGTCCTAGAGTTAAGATCACCATTGGTGTGTGTCGGTTGTGGCAATTCAGATCCTCTTTGTCAGTGATAAAGGTAAGATAGACATGTGATCGAGTCCTAGCTGAAGAAATACAAGGGGAAGATAGCAAGTGCTTCTGGACAAAATTTTCCCTCTCTAATGAAAGGAGACAAAAACAAAGAAAACATATATTTTCTTTCCTAATTTGGACACTGCTTTAAAAATATAGAAAGCTTGGAACTGCTGGATCCATTTTGGAATAATGAGGTAGATGGCTAACTCAACACCTTGAGATGGTGGGACCACTACCTTCTGACTTCTTATTATATGAAAAAGATAAATGCCTTTATTGCTTAAGCTATTGCTGATAGTTAGGTTTTCTGAAACTTTTAGCTTACTGTAGTCTACCCTGAATGTCACATATCTGCAGTTGTGCCAAAACCAGCTCACTGGCCTGTGAGCTGACTGTGCCTATCTCTTCCCAATTCCCCATTCAGTGACTTCAAGTTGGTAGCTTTAAGTCATCCATGGTGGGAATCTTTACACCTTGGGACTAGACCAAAGATATCTCTCAGGAGTTTCTTATGATTGTTAACTCAGTAGAACATCATAGGATGACTTAGCCTGTTTCTAAAGATAATGCAATTCTACTGTGCTAGCTCTCATCTTTGAAAGTGTGCTGTTGGGGGGCCAGCTTTGTGGAGCAGTGTGATGTCCTGCCACCTGTGATGCTGGCATCCCTCGAATCCTGGCTGCTCCCCTTTTGATGCAGCTCCATGCTAATGTGCCTTGGAAAGAAGTGGAAGATGGCCCAAGTGCTTGGGCCCCTGCCACCCACATGCAAGATCCAGATGGAATTCCAGGTTCCTGGCTCAGCCTCAGCCTGGCCCAGCTCTGGCAGTTGCTTCCATTTGGGGGAATGAATCAGCAGACAGAAGATATCTCTATTTCTCTCTCTCTCTCTCTCTCTCTCTCTCTCTCTCTCTGTGTGTGTGTGTGTGTGTGTGTCCTTCCCTCTCTATCCATAACTCTGCCTTTCAAATAGATAAATAAATAAATAATAAATAAATAAATCTTTTTTTTTTTTGACAGGCAGAGTGGAGGGTGGAGAGGGAAGGACAAGAGAAAGGTCTTCCTTTGCTGTTGGTTCACCCTCCAATGGCCTCCGCGGCCTGCGCGCTACGGCCGGCCCACCGCGCTGATCCAATGGCAGGAGCCAGGTACTTATCCTGGTCTCCCATGGGGTGCAGGGCCCAAGGACTTGGGCCATCCTCCACTGCACTCCCTGGCCACAGCAGAGAGCTGGCCTGGAAGAGGGGCAACCAGGACAGAATCTGGCGCCCCAACCGGGACTAGAACCCGGTGTGCCGGCGCCGCTAGGCGGAGGATTAGCCTAGTGAGCCACGGCACCGGCCAATAAATCTTTTTAAAAAGTAATGAAGATCACTTTTAGGGGCAAAGGTTTGGTCTAGCATTTAAAGACAGTGGTTAGGCTGGCACTGTGGCTCACTAAGCTAATCCTCCGCTTGTGGCTCCAGCACCCCGGTTTCTAGTCCCAGTTGGGGCGCCAGATTCTGTCCTGGTTGCTCCTCTTCCAGTCCAGCTCTCTGCTGTGGCCCAGGAAGGCAGTGGAGGATGGCCCAAGTGCTTGGGCCCTGCACCCGCAAGGGAGACTTGGAGGAGGCACCTGGCTCCTGGCTTTGGATCGGTGCAGCGCGCCGGCTGTGGCAGCCATCTGGGGGGTGAACCAACAGAAGGAAGACCTTTCTGTCTGTCTCTCCCTCTCACTAACTCTGCCTGTCAAAAAAAAAAAAAAAAAAGACAGTGGTTAAGAGGCTCGAGCTCTACATTGGAATATCTGGGCTGTATTCCAGCTCCAGCTACTGATTCCGTCTTCCTGCTAATGCAGACTCTAGGAAGAAATAGTGATAGCTCAAGTAACTGGGCCCCTGTTAGCCACATGGGAGACCTGGATTGAATTCCTGGCTCCCAGCTTCAACCCTGGCCGTTGTGGGAATTTGAGGACTGAACCAGCAGATAGGAACTTGCTTGCTCTGTGTCTTTCTTTGTCTCTCTGCTTCTTGAATTAAAAAAATTAAAAAAAAAAGCACTTTAATCACAAATGGTAATGAATTAGATCAAGCTATATTTAAATTGTGGAGTTTTTTTAACCAGAAGAAGATTTAGTAAATTTGAAAAGAGCAAAAGTAATCTTGAGCAATGTTAAAGCTAATCTAACATAATGCAACCAGTTAATAGCAGAGTCCAATCTGCAGTTTGACTCTTCATTTCCATGTAATGATCTTCCCAGTACACCACAGAACCATTATATAATTTATACAATAAGAGCAACAACAATAACAATAATTCTTTGCTTGCCAATATGTAACCTCAAATCCAAATAGTAAGCTAGTGAGATACTCAATTTGTCTATAAATAGACCAGTCTAGTTTTGATTATGCATATAATAAACCATGTTTAATTATACACATATTTCTAAATTTTGGCCTAGTCAGCAAAGATGCAAAATTGAAGAAGGCTGACATGTGGAAATTGCTAGCATGAGATCACAAACTGCCAACAGCCTCAGTCACCATTACCCACAGTTAAGCCCTGAGGGGTAACTGGGTGATCAGCACTGGATGTGGCCTGCTGCAGTACACCAAGGACACTCACAGCGGGCATCTGCCACCCACATCTATTTCTCAGAGGCTGGAGGACCATCCATGGCAGGCTGAACTGCTTTGCTCAAGGGAAGAGAGTCAGACAATTGTAAAGGAGAAACCACTTTGCAAGATGAGATGAATTCTGCAAGGACTTGGGGTGGATTCATGGAACAAATGTTAAGGCCAGATTCTGAGAAGTTAGGAAATAGCTGGCCAAATGTGCCAGCAAAGATCAGTTACTGAAAATAATCAATAGTTTTCAGAGTATTTGTGAGAGCTTGTGGTGCTGGTGAAAGTGAAAACTGGTTCATTTCTGGAAAGCAATTAGGCATAACAACCTTAAAAATAAAAATGCTGCCCAATTTTGACATGCTGACCGTGGAATGAGGTGTATAGGGAGTTCATTGTACTGGTCTCGATTTTGGGGAACAGTTGAAATTTTATAGAAATGATTGTAGTATTTGGTTCAAGAATTCTCATTTTTGTGATCTATTTTAAAGAAATATAGGCATGGGGACAGTGCTGTGGTGCAGTGGGTTAAAGCCCCAGCCTGCAGCACTGGCATCCCATATGGGCGCCGGTTTGAGTCCCGGATGCTCCACTTTCAATCCACCTCCCCACTAATGTGCCTGGGAAAGCATTGAAGGATGACCCAAGTCCTTGGGCCCCTGAATCCACATGGGAGACCAGGAAGAAGCTCCTGGCTCGTGGCTTTGGACTGGCTCAGTTCCAGCTGTTGCAGCCATTTGGGGAGTGAACCAGCAGATGGAAGACCTCTCTCTCTGTCTTTACCTCTCTTTGTGACTCTTTCAGAATCAATAAAATAGCTCTAAAAAATATAGGCACAAAGACTAATCAACACTAATTATAGAGTTATAAAAGTTGGAAGTATTCTAAATTTCTAATGGGAATGGATGAATAAATTATGATATACATTTAATGAAATGCAATGGATCTATTAACATAAAATGTTTTGAAGAATATTTAATAAGGAAAGAAAATGGTCAAAATACATGGGAGATTAATAAAAAAAAAATACAGAGGAGCCGGTGCTGTGGCGCAGCAGGTTAAAGCCCTGGCCTGAAGTGCCAGCATCCCATATGGGCACCGGTTCTAGTCCTGGCTGCTCCTCTTCCAATCCAGCTCTCTGTTATGGCCTGGGAAAGCAATAGAAGATGGCCCAAGTCCTTGGGCCCCCGTGCCCATGTGGGAAACCCGGAAGAAGCACCTGGCTCCAGGCTTCTGATCGATCGGCGCAGCTCCAGCCATTGTGGCCATCTGGGGAGTGAACCAACGGAAGGAAGACCTCTTTCTCTGTCTCTACCTCTCTCTGTAACTCTGTATTTCAAATAAATAAAATAAATATTAAAAAAATACAGAACAGTATAGTCTATGTGTGTGCATTTTGAAGACTGGAAGAAAATATATTAAATCAAGATGTTCATAATGATGATGTTATTCCTTTATTTTCCTAAACTTTCCAAGTTTTCTCTAATGAGCATATATGTTTTTAAATTTAAGAATAATTTTTTCTTATAAAATTAATACATGTTAATTTAAAAAATAGTAAAAGAAAGGCTGGCGCCACGGCTCACTAGGCTAATCCTCCACCTGCGGCGCCAGCACCCCAGGTTCTAATCCCAGTCGGGGCACCGGATTCTGTCCTGGTTGCCCAAGCTCTTCCTGCCCAGCTCTCTGCTGTGGCCCGGGAGTGCAGTGGAGGATGGCCCAGGTCCTTGGCCCTGCACCCGCATGGGAGACCAGGAGGGAGCACCTGGCTCCTGGCTTTGGATGGATGCAGTGTGCTGGCCGCAACGCGCCAGCTGTAGCAGCCACTTGGGGGGTGAACCAACAGTAAAAGGAAGACCTTTCTCTCTCTCTTTCTCACTGTCTAACTCTGTCTGTCAAAAAGGAAAAAGAAATAGTAAAAGAAAATTTGAACACCTTTTAAAAAGTAATATAAAAAAGTTTAAAAAAACAGAATTTCTTAAATCATTTGGAGGTAATTTTTTTTCTCTTTCCTTTTTTTCTTAGAGGGAAACACAACAGTAAAGGGTATGTTCCTCAACCAGCTTGAACTCTTGAAAGGACAACTATGCGCCCAAAGTGTGCAAACTCAGGTAAGGAACGCAGTAGACTGACTGACAATGCCATTAGGGTGGTGGGGGAGAAGAGAGGTAAGTCTTTAGGCTGCATGGGTGTTGGATAGAGTTTTGAAGTAGTTGAGAATTGAGAATGAATGTTTTCAGGAGCAGCGATGATCTGTGGGAAGCTACTGAGAAGGACAACTATAAGAAAAGGGCTTAAAAGACTCTTGCCCCTGCTGGGGTCGGCACCTTGGTGCAGTAGGTTAATCTTCCACCCATGGCACCAGCATCCCATATGGGTGCCGGTTCTAGTCCCAGCTGCTCCTCTTCCAGTCTAGTTCTCTGCTGTGGCCCAGGAATGCAGTGGAGGATGGCCCAAGTCCTTGGGCTCTGCACCTGCATAGGAGACCAGGAAGAAGCACCTGGCTCCTGGCTTCCAACTGGCACAGCTCTGGCCATTGCAGCCATCTGGAGAGTGAACCAGCAGATGGAAGACCTTTCTCTCTGTCTCTCCCTCTCAGTGTCTGTAACTCTACCTCTCAAATAAATAAATAAAATCTTTAAAAAAAAGACTCTTGCTCTGCATTCTGAATACATTCTTCTCTTTGGAGTGCTCAAGAAGCTAAGGAAAAAATTGGAGAATATTGTTTCAATAGTTTGTGACTCCCTAAGTGTGTGCCTTTGTATATGAGAGCAGATCAAGTGAGGCTCAACCCAATTTATTTGAATTATACCACAGTCCCCAAACTTAACACCCAGAAATGTAGTTGCATGACTCTAGAAATCTGAACAACTTTCTTACAGGACCTGAAAAGTCCTAGTCTAGACAAGTTGTTGCCAACATTTTTTTTTTTTTTTCTCTTTGGCAACACACAAGACAGATGACATTCCCAAATGGGATATATAACCGAGCATCCAGGGTTGAGATATTTCTCTAACTCCAGTTCTTATCTCCTAATTAAGAAGGCAATGCTAGTGAGTGTAATGTTATTATAAAGAAACCCTTTACTGCACTTTGATCTCTATTTGAAAATGGTGATTAATGCATAAACTTTGGCAGTCTTTCACAGGCTCATCCTTTGGGTAGGGCAACTAGGGTAGCTGCCCTGAGACTCAGAGGCATTATACCTGATTCCTTTGTTCTGAATGCAATTCAGATCACATTAAAAATTTCTGTCTGTAATGGTATCCAAAGAAGCTTATGAAAATTGCTGATGGTGCAGCTTCCTTTCAAGTGAGATTATCTTGGGCAGGCAAGACTGGTTGAGTTGCTAGGGTCCCACACCCATCTAAGGGTGGCCTTACTCAAACTTTTCTCAGGATAAAATTACAAATAAAGAATGCACTTTCATTTTAAGCAGGCTCTTTTTACCTCTTAATGAAAGTAAGAAAAAGTAAGTATGATAACTGATGATATTTATTCACTATACACATTTACTATGTGTAGGCGTTCTTCTGAACTCTAGGGGCTCAGTAGTGAATTAAGGCAGACAAGATTGATCTCTACATTTCTGAAGCTCTCGTTCTACTGAGTAGAGACATATCAGGCAGGAAACAAAATTGGAAACATATTTGGTTCATTTGCTGCCTCATTTAAGTCATTCATTTACCTAACATGTACTAAAGATACTTGATATGTGCCAGCGTGCCAGGTATTCTAGGCACCCTCACATAAATTATGAAGATATTAAAAAATTAAAAGTATGAGTTTATTTTGGTGCAAGAACAATTTTAAATCATGCATTTTTTTCATAATACACATTTCCCACATATTATGAAAAACATTTTTTGCATCAAAATAAACTCATTTTAACAATTCTTATTTATTTTTATTTGAAAGGCAGAGTGACACACAGAGAGAGACAGAGAGGGGGAGAGATTTTCCATTCGCTAGTTAACTTCCCAAGTGCCTGCAATAGCCAGGGCTGGTCCAGGCGTAGGCTGGGAGCTTAGAACTCAATCTAGGTCTCCCACATGGGTGGCAGGAACCCAAGTACTTCAGCCATCATCTGCTATCTCCAGGGTGCACATCATCAGAGAGCTGGATCAGAAGCAGAGATGAAACTTGATCCCAGGTACCCTGATATGGGATGCATGCATCCCAAGTAATGGCTTAACTCACCGTACTACCATGTTTGCCCCTAAACCCATAGTTTTAATTCCATATTTGCTGCAAACTTTTTGAAGTGCCCTCATAGCTCATTTAATTTTTGAAAAAACTCTGCCAAAGATTTTTTTTTAATTTAAAGATTTATTTATTTATTTGAAAGGCACAGCTACAGAGAAAGAGGGAGAGAGAGAAAGAGAAACAGAGAGTGAGACATCTTCCTTCAGCTGATTCACTCCTCAAATGTCTGCAAAGGCCAGGGCTGGGCCAGGCTGAACTTAGGAGCCAGGAGCTTATCGGGATCTCCTCTGTGAGTGACAGGTGCCCAAGCACTTGGGCCATCTTCTGCTGCTTTCCCAGGCCATTAGCAGGGAGCAGAATTGGAAGTAGAGCAGCCAGGAAATGAACTGGTAACCGTATGGATTGCCAGTGTCGTAGGCTGCTGGTTAACCCACTATTCCACAATGCCAGCCCCCGACCAAAAGTACATTATTATTTCCTGTTTATAAATATATAAAAATATAGTTTATTATAATAGCTAGAAATAGGAAGCAATCAATATGTCCTTTATAGGAGATTTATTAAGCAAATTATGATAATATACACAATAAAATGATATATTATGCAGCTAATATAAAGACTTCTATGCACTGATATGGATAAAGACTTAAGTGTAAAAAAAGGCAAAACACAGAATGTAGATCATGATTTAAAATCAGTTACTGTGGTTTTTTAAAAGATTTATTTATTTATTTGAGAGGCAGAGTTAACAGAGGGGTGGGGTAGGGTGGAAACAGAGAGAGGTCTTCTATCCACTGGTTGAATCCCCAAATGGCTGTGATGGCCAGAGTTGGGCTAATCTGAAGCTAGGAGCCTGGAGTTTCTTCCAGGTCTCCCAAATGGGCGCAGGGTCTCAAGCACTTGGGCCACCTTCTACTGCTTTCCCAGGCCATTAGCAGGGAGCTGGATTGGAAGTGGAGCAGCCAGGACTCAAACTAATGCCCATATGGAATGTCAGCTTCACAGGCGGAGGCTTAAGCTGCTATGCCACAGTGCTGGCCCCAGAACATCTCCTTTTAATTAAATATTCATCCTTCAGCAATTCTGAAATGTTAATTACACATATTAGCCTCTATTTCAGTTAAAATTCTTAGTAGTAACGTTATTAAGAAGAATGTTTGTACCTCTGGGAGCTTTAGGGGTATAACTGGCTTGTTTCAGGGTCATGGGAATTTAGTTCTTGGGTTTTCTGTATGGGAATGAAGATAGGTAAATGTTATGTTAGAGAAAAACATGTTAACTTGTATGCCTGTAGGTAAGTGTTCTTGTGTATGTGCGTGTTGAAGGGCAGGTGTTGTCCTGAATCAAAAGTGAGGGGACCAAGGTGAGTGGCATGATTTAGAAAAGGTGCTCATGTTTCATTTTTTGTATTCACAGTACCTAGTGCTTGCCTCTAGTAAGTAATTAGTGCTTGTTAGAAGCACGGTCAGATTATCTGAGGATGTTAGGAGTGCGTATGCAAGGCAGGTGATTTGCATGCAGTTAAAGCAGTTTCTGGGATCTATAATATAATTTGATCATCCTGGTTGGATGGAGATGCAAGAGAAAGTGTGGTTCAGAATATAAATTACACAGTTCCTTCTTATCCCCAGTGGGAAGGCATATCCCCCAAGTTTGCTGATTTGGAAAATCCTTATTTTTGCAAGGACTGAATTCCCTTGCTTGCTATTTATCAGCATTCTGCTGACAAGTCTTGTTCCTTCTCTGTCCTTAGCCCCTTTTTTGTTTTTCTTATTAAAAGATCTATTAAATAAAAAAAGCAATTCCATAGTCCAACTATTTCAAAATCTCATTTCATCTCATTTGTCATTTATTAATGGGCCTATTTGCTCTCCAGAGTTTCTTATCCCCCAGATATATTTGAGGAAACTCTTTAAAATCCATGGGGTTATTATTACATCACTAGTTCTTTTTACTGCCTAAAAAAATAAATCAGACTCAGACTTTAATCACTCTATATATTCCTCTTCCCACCCCGCCCCCATTTTTCTATTTCAAGTACTTTTTTTTTCTTCTAAATCTAGTATTCTGAAAATTCCTAAGTGAGTTCAGGCTGGATCTATTTTTGTTTTGAGAAATTTATCAGATGAATTGCAATTTATTATTGGTTACCTCTCGGTTATTTGAGAATGGTTTGGTTTTTTCCCTATTATTGTTTATCTAACAATTTCCTTCTATCATTAGGGTATACAAAAATGTAGCTTGTTTTATGGGTATTTCATATTTTTCCCTAATTTTGACTTCCTATTTGTTTTCTAATTTAAAATAGGGTTATTTGGAACCCATTTGAAGTAAATCCTTTCCTATAAACAGGTCTCTCACTTATATTCAGTTCTAATGATCATTTTAATATTCTCCTTTTGCTTTTCTATATTCACTCAGTGTTACTGAATGGCAAACTCAAGAAAAGGAAAACCCCTTTACTCTCAGAAGGATGGTGTGGAAAGAACATTAGGTTCTGAGTCAGGAGTCCACTGCTAAGCTTTCTGCTTCACACTTTCTTTTATTTTATTTCACTGGATTTGGGCTTTGTCTATACCTCTCCCTCCATGTAGAATCAATCATCTTCCCTCTTATCTAATACTGAGAAAATGCATAAGAACTTTTGCAAAGTATTAGGAAAGCCTGTGAAAAAGGCCATTATGTAAATGTCCAGTATTATTATGCTGGAATGTTGCCATTATCCTGTATGCAAAAGGATAAGATTTAGAATAATATTAGCTCCTTTCAACCTCCATTCCAAAGGAAGTTCAGCAATGAAAATACTAGGAGAATGACTTTTGTACCGTAGGCCCCTTGCAGAGCTCTAAGACACCAGCCATTGTTTTTTTCAGTGGTGATTACTCTCATTATTATTATGTTTACCCTCTGGGGGAGTCATGGCAATGGAGAGAATTCATAGCAGGATGCTCTACTATTGCTTTTCTTTCTTTCTTTCTTTTTTTTTTTTTTTTTGATGAGAGAAATGAAAGGGAGGAGTGGGGTATTGGCTGATCTAAATGGTCCAAATAACTTAGTTTATATGTGTGTATATTGCAGAGGGCAGGGGATGGGGGGACACAAAGATGTGTATGTAATATATTGTGAATCTAGAGGTAGTACATACTATCTCTAGTACCTACATACTACCTCTAGACTCACTAGAATGTACAAGATAGCATGAGACATTTCTAGATGTAAAGGCGTCAGCATCCTACATTGGGAAGTTTCAGGGCACAGAAAAGCCTAGTTGGCCTCAAAATACTTGCTTCCTCAATGCCATAGTCTGAAATCTCCACCATGAGACCTGCTACACTGAATTGCATTTTCAGTCAACTGCTCATTTTGAAACTCCCTTGTAAGACTATAGAGGCTTATGTTTGAGGCAACTAGCAACTAACTGGCTGTTAAGTATGTAGAGGATTAATTCTCCAACACTTGCAGAAAAGATGACATTTGGATGGGGTTTGAAGGATGAGTAGAGGTCGCAAAGTCAAGTGCCTTATACAATTAACGTAAATATTTAAAATACCTTAGATATAGCAGAGTAAGTACTAAGCTGATTTTGTTACTAGATAAGAATAATATCTATCTCACCACTGATTACAGGCCTGATGAAGTTGCACCCCCCCCAAATAGCACCCAAAATCCAAAAACATATCAAAGCCCTATAGAAGTCCTTGCTCACCAGTTTGAGACCCCTGATTTAAATAGATGGAGGAAGGATAGTGAGGTGATAACAAACCGAAGGAATAATATGGAAAACTAATAGTTGCTGTGAGCTGCATGTTACTTAGGAGGACTTTACTACTGTTGGTTAATTTATCACAGCTATTGGCAATATTTCAGGAGCACGGTATAAGAAATGACCTCTGTTCTTTAGAAGAGATAGAAACGGGTAGAGCAATAGTCTGGAGTGAACAAAGGGCATCCTAATGGCCCAAAGGTTCAGAAATATTTTCCATAAATATTTCACTATTTATGCTAACATATTCTTCTTTAGAATGCAGATGTCAATCAGAAAAATGTAAATCATGTCACCTTCTATAACCTAGCTGAGATTAATCCCACAGAGGGAATAGAAAACTCTATGGTGGAGCAGGAGGGAGGAAGTTTAGAGCTTGAGGGTTGGGTAGAAGTCAAAACTGTAGGTGGGTGTGAGTGCTCTGGCAGGCTGAGGCAACTGGAGGAGCCTGCAGGTGGTGGGGGTGGGTCCTGCAGGACAGGAGGGAGCAAGCTTTGCCTGCTGTGCAGTTTTGCCTAGGGCAGCTAATTGCTTGTGCCCAGAAAATTGCCTCTGGAAGCCTTGGGCAATATGCAGTAGGTTTTCCCTGATGCCTAGTTTATCAGGCTAAGTTGAAATTTGGTGAGGAGGAGAGAGGGGAATGATGAGCTGAAAGAATTCCTGAGCTGAAAGAAACTTCAGAGGTCATCCAGGAAAGTGTCTCTAATGATGAGAAAGGGAACTTGCACCCCCAGGAATCTCTAGATTCTTTGGCCAAAGTAAAACTGTCACAAGCAGAAGTATCTTTGAAGCCTCTTGTTTTATTTTAAAACTGTGTCAAATTTTTTTTGACTCAACATATTTTTACATATATGAGAAAAGCATTAATATTACTACAGTTGATTCACCAATCTCTTAATAAGATTGCCTAAGTGTTTATCCCTGCTGAGTTGAATGACTTGGCCTAGACATCCAGCTAGTGAGGGCCAGATATGGGATAAGCAGTCCGATCTCCTGACTATCCTGCTCTATCTCAGCAACACACTAGCAGAGAGGAGATTAATAGTGGGACAAGGTGATGAGGGCAGGGAGGGCTTGACGTGAGCAGGAGCCGGGTAAAGGAGGGGGAAGGTACTAAGAGGACAAGTGGAAGGGGTCTCCCCTCTCTAGTTGTTCTTAGGATTGACTCTGGTATGGGTATGAACATAGAAAGGAAGTGAAGGAATTCAGCATTCTCTATTAAGTGCTTTGTACTGGACATATTGTATTTGCTATCTTAATTTTCATAGCAACTGTGGAGCAAGTTGCCATCGTCATACAACACAGGAAGAACACGTGCTGAGGTTAACAAATGCACCCCTGGCTCCACAGCTGGTAAGAGGTAGAGCTGGACTTTCAATCCAGGTGCGTGTGGCCAGGCCACACTGCAGCTTTTCCAGGGCAACTTATTAAATGTCTGAGATGTGCCAGATACAAAGCTGGGTCCTTTAATGATACAAAAAAGGAGCTTAGTAGGGATATAGACAAGGAACTCTTGATGGTCTTGTTCTCAAAATTTATAATTTCAAGAAGGAATTCCTTAATTTATTAATTGGTCAGCTTCTATTTAATGTCCCAACCTGGTTGAGAAGTTGATGGGATCACTCATAGCTATAAAAACTGGAAGTTAATCTCAGTTTATTAATGCTTTATAGCTTTGCATGGCACACAGAACAATGCTCTCAAAGTGCTCTAAGATATTTATAGGTTCAGGAAAGAAAAAAAGCAAAATAAGAAAAACCCCTGGTGTTAGCAAAATTTTTTTCAAAAGTGTGTAAAAAATAGAGAAAAATACTAAGTATATTTCTCATGGTCTTCTTATGTGAACATCTCTTTAAGGAATGCTGGGCAATCCTAACAGCAAAGGATTTTTCCTATATTAGCTGGAGGGTAAATGACTGGCACTCAATTTATCATTTTATCAACTTACTCTGAATGTTTATGTGCAGATGTATATTGACTAGTTTAAGATCTTCAGCCCATATAGTAATACTGTGCATATTTGTGCTATCCATCAAATTTTGATTATGTTCTTTGGAAGCTATGTTTTCCTTGAGACCTTTTCACTACCTAGTCCAGATGTCTATTATATTTCATGAGCTCATGTTGATCTTTCAGTACTACATTGTAATGTGGTTTTTGTTTTTTAGATCAAATATGTTTGGAAAATGCTGATCTGGTACTTCCTGCCAAGTTGGTGCCATGCTCTGATTGCCAGTTTCCCAAAGGATAGGTTGGTCTTGATTTGGTTTCCTACTTTTTGAATTCTTGGTATATCAGTAGACAGACCTGTAATGTTTAATGCACTTATACCTACAATGTTAAGTGCACACAGATATAACCTTTTCCTTAGGTATTTGATAATAAGAAATGGTGGTTAAAGTTTTATGTTGTATATTTTGCTACTGCTACAACATAAAAGATGCAATGGAGTGATAATGGTACATGAAGAATGCAATCTTAAAAACTGTAAAAAAAATTTGGAGTCATAATCACATCTTAAAAATAAATAATATTTTATATTGTGTGAGAAAAAGTATAACCAGGAACTAAATGTCTCCTACAATTTAAATAAGAAATAAACTCATGAGGATATTTATGTAGAATTAAGTAAATGGTCTGACCATCGTTTGCATTTATTCAGGTGTTTTCAGCATCTGGCAGAGTGAAACATAGTATGAGCTCAAGAAATATTTTGTGTGTGTATTCTAAGATTTATGTATTTATTTGAAAGGCAATATTACAGAGGGAGAAGGAGAGAGAGAGAGAAAGAGAGAAATAGAAAGACAGAGATCTTCCATCTGCTGGTTTATTCCCCGAATGGCCTCTATGGCTGGAGCTCGGGCAGGCCAAAGCCGGGAGCTTCATCCAGGTCTCCCACATGGGTGCAGGGGCCCAAGTACTTGGGTCTGCTTCTTCCCAGGCACATTATCAGGGAGCTGGATAGGAAGGGGAGCATCTTCCAGGACTGGTATGCTGGAGTCACAGGCAGCAGCTTCACTCTCTACACCACAGCGTTGGCCCCAAGAAATACTTTTTGAATGAATGATAAGGTTATTTCAGCTCCGGGATTCTTTCCCTAGTTGTTGATTTAACCTCTTTACTTTTTAGAGCAAGTTACATAACATATACCCTGAGAAAACAGTGAGGCTGTCAGATTAAAAAACAAACTGTTGTATGTAACAAATACATCTGGGTAACACTTTTTTAGGAAGTTTTATTTAAAAATAATTTACATACCTTTGTTACTATTTTGGAATGTACCTTAGGAAAAATTAGCAATTTCATATGGTTTTATCTTGGTTTACAAATTACTGGCTAGTGTGTGCTTGCAGTTTCAGGTGAAAGTAGCACTGAAATGTAGAGAAAATGTACTTTAATTTTCATTAAAAGTGCTCTTCTTTGCTTCCAAATGCCAGGGACTTAAAAGTGATTTCAGAAATCAGAGCAAATATTACAGCACCTTCATTAAAATATGTGAGGCTGGCACCTTTACTACTAACTTTTATGATTAATCACAAATCTCCTACCAGAGTCTGTGAAATGACCATCTGAATATATTGTAAGAAGACTTTAATGGTCTTAAATATTGATTACCTTAACACATAGACATCCCTTCCATTTCTGACATTAAAACAAGCATTCTCAATTATTATGATTAAAAAGGATGGTAGTCGTTTATTTCACAGTTAAAAATATAATAAAAAAAGTAGATCTATAATTTGTTTTTGAGAATATTACCAATAATGACAAAAGGAAAGGAAATTAATTTTGATCATTCACTAGTTGCATAATGTTAAATCCCTAAATGATTATGATCGTTTCACTGGTCCCCAGAAACAGCAGTGATCGAGGGAAAAGTCCAACACAGGAGATATAATAATTCCTTGCTTCTCTGCTTGTGGAAACTACCACAAGGGAGACCTCAGGGCAGAAACCTTCAAAGCCAAGAGGTATGAGGGGGAGAAGGTGAGAAGCCGCAGGCTGTTACTCCTGCTTTCTAGCTTGTATCCAGTGTTCCCTCTTTGTTCTCTGTGTCTGCTTAGCAATGGTGCGATGAGGCTGAGGTTACAAGAGAATGGCCAGGGGCCAGTTTTGTGGCCGTCACCTGAGCAGGAACCCATATAGACGCTGGTTCAAGTCCCGGCTGCTCCACTTTCGATCTAGCTCCCTGCGGAGGATGGTCCTAGTGCTTGGGCCCTTGCATCCATGTGGAAGACCCAGAAGAAGCTCCTGGCTCCTGGCTTCAGCCTGGCTCAGCCACACCCCAGCTTTTGTTGTCACTTTGGGAGTGAATCAGAGGATGGAAGATCTCTCTGCCTCTCCCTCTCTCTTTAACTCTGACTTTCAAATAAATGAAGAAAAATCTTAATGGCCAGTTACCTAGACTTGCTAGTAGACCGTTCCAGTGTTAGTGGAGGAGTGAGGGGGTGCTGTACTATAGTTTGGTGACTGTAAAATCTCCCAGGCATTTTTTATGTTTACATTTACATACACATTTTTAAAAATAGTCCCATATGGCATATCCTACATCATACTTGTTTCAAAAATATTAATGTATATAATATATTAGTGGTTAACATTCCAGCTAAGATGCCCATGTTTTCTGTTGCAATTCCTGGGCTTGATTCCCCACTCTGGGTCCTGATTCCAGCTTCCTGCTAATGCAGACCCTGGGAGTCAGCAGTGATGGCTCAAGTAATGGTTTCCTGTCATCTACATGGGAAACTTGGATGGAGATCTAGTCTCCTGGCTTTGGCCTGGCACTGCCACGGCTGTTGTGGGCATTTGAAGAATGAATCAGAGGACAGAAGCCCTTTCTCTGTTTGTTTCTCTCTCTCTTTCAGATAAATCAATAAAAGTTATACACACACACACACACACACAATGAACTTTCCTTTTCATCATTTTAAAAACATTTTATTAAAATACAGTGTACATACCAAGAAATGTACCTAAGTGTGCAGATCAATTTTTTTTTTTTTGCCATCTGATCACTCATAACCAACACCCAAATTAAGAACAAAGCACTACAGATACTCAAGAGACCTCACTATTCCTCCCTCTATTTTTTAAATCCATCATTTTTACACAACAGTCTTCTTAAGAGCTTCTTAAAATTCCATTGAACTGGTGGTGCTCCAGTTTATCTAACCAATTTTCTATTGTTGGTCTCTAAGTTTTTCTTAATTTATTTTTTTACTATCATTAACAACATTGCTGCTAAATCTGGGCATAAATCGTTAAATCTTTCAAATAAAAACCCTGAACTGGAATTAGTTGGTTGATGATGAGGATTTTGAATGACTTCCTGGAGTAAACATTTGGCTCCTGAGAGAAAAGCTAGGGAAGAGATCAAAAGCAGTAGAATAGCCCTTTTCATTCGGGGGTAACTTTTTTTTTTTTTTTTTTTTGACAGGCAGAGTTAGTGAGAGTGAGAGAGACAGAGAGAAAGGTCTTCCTTTTTCCATTGGTTCACCCCCCAAGTGGCTGCTATGGCCGGTGCTCTGCGCTGATCCGAAGCCAGGAGCCAGGTGCTTCCTCCTGGTCTCCCATGTGGGTGCAGGGCCCAAGCGCTTGGGCCATCCTCCACTGCCCTCCTGGGCCACAGCAGAGAACTGGCCTGGAAGAGGAGCAACCGGGACAGAATCCGACGCCCCAACCGGGACTAGAACCCGGAGTACCGGCGCCGCAGGCGGAGGATTAGCCAAGTGAGCCGTGGTGCCAGCCTCTGGGGTAACTTCTTAAAAGAGTATTTTTAGAAACATAGCCATGTACTTAGGCAATTATTTCAAACTAAAGCCAGAGAGATAAATTGGGTGAGGAAATCTGAAAAGAATGAAGCTTTTTAAAGTATTAAGTGTTCTCAGCACTTCCCATGTGTTGTCTCAGTTTAGTTCTACCATAACTCTAATGAGTAGGTAAGGAACAGAAGCAAGAAAAGCTATACTACTTTTCCAAGGCCCCACTTAGGCTGTGGCAGAGCCCAGGGTCATCCATGTCACAACACACGTGCAATGCTGTTCCATCCAGCACACTGGGTAGCTGAGGCAGAGTAAGTCTATGGTGCACCTGCTATCTTTATAAAATCTACTCTTCTTGTTTTTGAAAGGCTTAATTTCCTACCAATGTCACATCCTCTCTTGCTAATAGACTCAGTGACTATAATCTTAAGTATTTTACAATTCACCACCAACTGTGGATAAGTCATTTAAAAAAGATTGATCGGTGTTAATTATCAGGCACTACATCAACTGTTGCCACAGGCTAATTACTGAATTCTGACAGCTGGTGTAAGTAAACAGTTCTTTTTATACAATTGTACTCTATCAGGACATTGCTGGATTCTCCTTGTATAAATTCTTTATCTTCCAATTAACTTGAAAGTCCACTAGGGATGCGTATACACCATAGGGAAGCTTGTAGTAACTGTCCTTGATGGGAAGTGATGCTGCATGTGTTTTGGTTTTCACATAGTAGCACCAGTCTTTTTATTCTACCCAACAATGTCCAAGTCAACATATTCTGAAGAAAGCGTGGGCCCCCATAATACTTTTGCCTTTGCAATGACTGAAGATGAACACACATTGGTGTTGCAGTGTTACTCAATGCATGCCTGAATAAATGACTTACGCTTACAGTCAGCTATAATGACCAACTGGAACAGATATTTTCCTTGCCCCATTGCTGCTTCATTTTTCCTTCAAAATCTCCAGCTTCTTTTAAGTTCCAGTAAATTGTATAGCACGGTGATTAAATGCATGGATTCTGGCTTCCAATTCTAGTTCTGCTGTTTACTAACTGAGAATTCCTGGGGAGAATTCTTCAGCCTTAGTTTCCTGATTTGAATCTCCAAGTCTACGTCTCCACCTGTGACTGTAGATCTGTAGATCTGTATGTGAAATTATCTAATTTATGTCTCAACTTGACTGTTTAACAGGTCTCTCAAAGTTAATAATACCAAAGGAAAAGCCTTCCTCATGTCTACTCTCCTGTCATGGCAATGGCAATACCACCCACCCTTTGTTCAAACCAAAAATCTGGGAGTTATTATCTTTGATTCTTCTTATTCCTTCACTCCCACACCCAACTCATCAGTGAACCTCCCCTCACCTCCAAAACAAATTTCCAGTCTGCCCACATCTACCAACACTTACCTAAGTCACATTATGTCATGCCTGGGCTCCTGCAGTGGTTCTTTGCTGGTTTCTCCTCTTCCATTCTTACTTCTTT